AACTTGTTGGGGAGGGGCGAAGACATTTTTGAAGACTACGAGATTTCTGCTTTCTTATGTGTTTTACCGTTGTCTGGAAGAATCGTCCTCAGAAAATTAGGTCCCGAAGAACTTTAATTTCAGCCCCGAGAAGTCAAACCTTTCATAGGGATGCATTCAACTGTTCTTTATTCCTCAAGGAAAACACCGTAATTTGCCTAAAACTGTCTCTCTGTGCATAATAATCGAATCTAATGCGGTCTGCACAAACAATTCTTGCCCTCGGATACGCCACGCACGCGCCTGTGGCTGGCAGTCCTCGAAATTGCGACCCCCTTCCGACCAAAATGCGACCCCTTCGTTCGAACAGTTCGAACGGACGGTTGACCCTGAAGTGAGCCTGAGCGGAACTTCCGCTCCTCTCGATGTTTGTTGTTTTGCTAGGAACCGACCTCCATTATCTTTCGCCTGAGGTCACTCTTCTCCGCTTGGTGCAGCTTCCACCACCGGATTCTCCTCTCGGTTCTTACCCTTGTCTTCTTGGGGAGGTCTATGGCAATGTCTGCCAGGAGGGGCCTGTGCTGGGGAGCCAGATCTTCGCCGGGTAGACCTTTGATATTCACAGTTTTGAGGAAGGATCTGCTTACCAGCACATGTCGTAGCCAAGTCGTAGGCTGTAGCCAGGCCCAGAACCCTCCGTCCCTCAGCGTTCCTCGTTCCTATCCCTCTACCTCCGTGCACCCTTTCTAGGCCTCTTCTGTCACTGCCGACGTGACCATTCAGATCACCTGCTATGGTCAGGTAATCGCCTTCCGGATCGATCTTATGGCTTCGTCCAGGCTCAGATAGAACTCGTCCTTCTCACTTTCGGGGCATCCGGCTGCTGCGTACACGGAGAGTATGGTCCAGTACCCCTCCTTCGTGTCTATCCTCACAGCCATGATCCGATCGCTGATCCTGTTCACAGCGGAGACATAGTCCTTGAGCGACTCCGCTACCGCTATGGCCACGCCGTTCCGCTTGGTGTCTTCTCCATTGTAGTAGAGTTGACACCTTCCCCGATTTCCCTGGCCTTAGCACCTTTCCATCGCGTCTCCTGAAGGCATAGGACTTGGATATTCCTGCGCGTCATCAGATCAGCAACTCGGGACTTCCCAGTTAGCGATCCTACGTTCAGAGTCCCAATTCGAACTAGCTTCTTTGGCCGAGGCCGTTCACTCCTCGGTAGCCCTCGCATACTGACCACAGAACTCGGGCGGGGGTTCTGCGCGCCACTTCCGGGTGACGTCCTAGCTTTATCACTGATTCTTTTCGACTTTAGACATGTTTGGTGTGACGGGGGTCTTCATCAGCCGGCCTGTCAACCTGGGCCTGACGCTGGTACTAGAACCATTTTTGCAATTTTTGCAAGGCATGGTTTAGAGCCTCGGCAGGGATCGAACTCGCGGTTTTTCAGAGGTGCAGACATGAGTCTAACCTCTTAACCACTCGGCTATCCCTGCCTCTTCGGTAGCCTAGAGGTATTAGTCAGAAACTTTAGTCAGTTGCCAGTGATCGAGAAAATGCACCTGGGACGGTAATAAAGTGGCCTCAACTGCTAGTTACCATGTGACCATGAGCTCGTGGTAACTTGGTCATGGCTTCCATCCAAAGTCTCCCTAAAAGATGCGTAGAGCACCTCTGGAACCCCTCCGAAGATTCCCCGTCGGAATGGTCGAAGTGAGTTCGAACTTACTCGGAAGTGGGGTGATGACATCACAAGCTATCTCTAGGCCGAAGACCACTATGTGGCGGAATTTCTTTACAGTTAGAGCCGGTCTTGCATTTTTGCGGGCCAGCAAAGCTTCCTTCCTTTGACGGCTCTTTTGCATCCTTCAAGCGCTCTATAGCAACTCATTTTCTTCAAGCATAGTTGTCACTGTCATTCATTCTATTCTCATTGTCAGTTATGTTCTCTCAGGTTTTTGTTTTGTTGTTGTTCGCTATATTTTCAACGTTGTCTTATACAACGTACTAAATAAAAATAGTAAAGATAAGACCGTCCGACTACGCCCAGCGAGGACGACGGTGGGAGAGCTGAAGAGGCCACCCATAACCACGATGATTATCCAGCACATTCAGTTAAGCAAAGCCTTTGTAACTCACGCATTCGAAGGCAACAGGATTACGTTAATGGAGGAAAATTCAACAGCGGGCAGGATGTCAAGTATACCGTCGATGTATTTATGGCGCCGCGTCTTTCTTTCAGAATGACGGCATAACTGCTCTGCCCAAACGATAAGGAAGCGTCCATGGCCCAGAAGAGTCACCGTCCTGATCAACAATATTACTTGTGCCTGTAATGTTGTGTCGAACAAAATAACCGACTTTTATTTGAAGTTTCCTTTGAGGCACCCTAGTAATTGAGACGAATTATCAAGCAAATTCGATGTAGACTCGAAGGTATGTGGCAAATTGGTGTTGCAGAAGGGGATTGGGTCCTACCTACTTCGAGGTTGCCGGTCCTAAGGGCCTGGCAGCTGGCGGATTCACAGCAAAAGGGAGCGTCCACAGCGAGGCTTCAATATCTCACACGTCCCTCTCGACGTCTTCAACGCCTGCCTACCTTCTGGTTGACTACCACGGCTGCTTGTCCCTCGCCGACGCCCTCTGGCTATTCTGACTAATGTTGTGAAACTTTCCAACGATTTGATATGCCTGAAGTGAAAACCAACGAGGAAAGCAAGCAACCCGTTCTTTTTTTCCCGAATTTCGGATCTTTTCCCTTTGTTTTTTTTCCACTGCGGCACCTCTGAACACCTCTCCGCCGACCAATTTATCACACCACCTTCTTTGCAGGGTCAAACAGGTCCTTCAGTGATCATATCTGTAGATGGATGGAGCCAACTGCGCACTGAGCAAGCCTCGTAGTTCCGATTCTTTATGTCGTCTTGGATAGTGGAAAACTCAATCGCTTTCGCTTCAGAAGCATTCTGTCAGACAGCTGCACTTATCAATGTTTCGCCCGAGCTCTTCACCGTCCACAAACGTACTAGGAGGATTCCTTGCTTCTATTGCGTTCACGCGGTTGGAATGGGGAAAGAACAATTTTCATTCAGAAGTTCGCCATACTCACTCGTGGAACTTAGAAGATAAACTTCTTGATAACTAGTCTTTTTTTTATACGCTGCGCTGCAGACTTGAAAGAAAATAGTTGAGAATGTGTTTACCTGCCTCGTTTTCACATCTACTCTATGCAGAAGGTATCGAAAGAAAAGTTAATCTTCGGCTCACTCGATGTATCTCGGAGAAATCTGGCTGAGTATAATTGTTAGACCGATGGCACCAATAACTCTGACATCCCGGCTGTAATGTACAACCGTCTGCCCGTCTGCAACCTGAAATGATAAGGAAGCTCATGGAGTAAATGAACCGTTCCCAAAACGGCACGTATTACCAGGGCTATGAATGTTTTGTCATGGCGTAGTTGTCGTAACACACCATAGACACCTAATCGGCACAACGATTCCATATGGTGCTGCATTGGCAGATCGAGTGGACCGCAGGGGATGGTAGGGTAAGAGATGGAGGAAAACCACTCACAACAGACCTACGCAAAGTACCTGTCATTCTAACATCGTGTCATGATTGTGATGATGCCCTCTATCATATGAAGCTTTCTGTACACCACCTTTTCTCGAAGAGACGCTGATGCTACAGGTGGAAGTGAGCACAGGGGCATAAAGATTACGTAGGGAAGAGTGCGCGGCGTTTGCGGGTGATCAACTTGGTTATAATAGTGTGGAAGAGAGAGAATTTATCGCATACATCTACCAGTCAAAACAACAGAGCAGTTAATGTTCAAAACCATTCATTCGTACCACATTACAATGAATATTGGAAAAAAAATATTGGAGCACAAAAAATTATGTAATTTCATCAGTCATTTCACATAGTTTGTCTTCATTACAGAATGTACCGATAGGGCATTCGCTGCAGGGTTCGCCCTTCATGTAGATCTGCTCGTTTAGCTGGTTTCCGCTGCAATGGCTCAGTCAGAACATCTGATGTACAAGCAAAGGAGATCAAAGCATTTGGATCCAAGAAGCCCAGGATGCAGACGGGCACAAAAGTTTAGAGGAAGAGTCGCCCGCGAAGAGTCAAATTTTTAGCCAGACGATTATGAGATTGCAACTGAAAAAAGGTGATATAACCATACCCAGGATTGTAGTGGCATAACACAATCCAGTAAAAACCGCATGACTCTACGTAGCAACCGAAGTGGTCAGTGGTCGCCCAAGCCATCTGCAAGCAACGACATTTCGAACAGTTCCTGTGGTAAGATAATTTTTAAGCCTAAAATGATGAATGAACGCTTTACAAAATGCTGCACTAAGTCAAACCCTAGTGAACCATTCGGTCGGTGTGCCAACATTGTATTGCGTAAATCTGACACCTTGTCCGATGCCGCCAGTTATTCTTATTTGACTCCACCAGTGTTTAATAGCCTTAACAGACATGTTTATTGTTGTTAAGACAAGGAGTACGAGAAAGTGAGTCTATTCCAAGAAGGTACATGCAACATTGGTAGCGGTAGCCAGGCAGAAGGAATAACGCGTGGTGTTTCCGCTGTGCAAGATGCGCTAGTGGCAATGCAGTTGAGCTCATCTCGCCCCTCAGAAACTGTCACTTTTCGAGCACAATTATTGAAATTTATGATATCATAATCAATAGCATTGTGAAAGTGCATTTCACCAGACGTAATCGGCCGTGAAATCGGCTGTAATCATGTATATATTCTTCACATCACCTAACAGGCAACGTGTAATCCACAAAATCGTCTAAAGTCAACAATCACTGTAAGGTCTTAGTTCTCAAGTTTTTTGGTCTTTTCACGGCTTATTCAAGTAGAATGTCCATTGTCGAAAAAATTGGTACCTTTGCTACCGAAAGTGACCAACATCAAATTATTGCGATTGCTGCCACTGATTCAGCTCTTTTGAGCTCAAAATGATAAACTTACAACTATAAGCGCTTTCTCCTTAGTTTCTGCTGAAGACTTCAAAATCAGAGCGTTGTTTTCTTGGACAAAAGAAGGCATTGTCGAAGGTGGAATTACAGAGCACCTTTGCCGCAGCTTTCATGGTCCATTCTTCACTTGTGCAATTGTATTCCTGCAAATGGTATTTTGGAAGCATTCGAATGCAAAATCGCTTCGAGAAGAAGTTGAGTCCCCAGTGAGTTGGATCACTGTAGTTCTCATTCATTTTCATCGATCAATGTATTTAGCATTTGAGTTTCTCAAAGATAGAAAGATAAATTACAATAATTGTCAGTGAAAGGAAGTATCACTGCTCTGTGGATGTGGTGCGCTGTCGTCGTGGAAAATGTTCTCTTTGGGGACTATACCTGCTGACACCAAAACCACCCAGTGTGACATGATTTCTGTTGCCACTGCGCCAAAAATGCGCGTAAGTAAAACTTATAGCATTGAATTCAAATTACCAAATTTCTCATGTTGGACGCCGTTGGCAGTGTTCTTCCTCTCTTGTTTCTGACAAGCCCCATAGCAAGCCTTGACCTTAAAAGAATGATGATTATCGCATGACTTCCTCAGTCGCAACAATTATGGTCGGAAGTATTTACCTCCGGTAATTGTGAGCCATTGATGCCCTTATTCTTAATGTGTCTTTCATGCCACGGTTTCGTGGGCAGATCAGGTTCTCCGCTAAATTTTCTTTGTAAAATATTTTGTTTTGGTTCAAGAAAATGGTGCACTTAGAGCGAGCATTGAAAACTTTACTAAAGGTCCTTAGGAAAATTATGATCGGTAATAAAATAGCAATCGTTTGAATTTCTTATTGAATACTCACCCTCATACGGAATAGTAGTGGTCGAAGCTTCAGTAGTAGAAGCTGTTGTCGAAGCGGTTGTGACCCCAGTTGTTTCCCTACTACCCGCTGTACTCGAAACACTTGCTGACTCCGTTGTTGACTCAATTGTGGACTCCGTTGTAGACTCTGTTGTATTACTTTGTGCTGGGTCTTGGGCCGAGACCAGCGAAAGGTTCACCTTCAAAATTGTTTGAATTTTCTAGCTAGCCAATGATTATGAACTGAAACTTACTATCGACAGCACAACAAAAAATTGCAGGTGAAACTTCCCCATGGTGGAAAACTGGGGAAGTGATACTATAGTTTTCACTGCTAGACTTTTATATGCACGAACAATAATGACGCCCCACTGTTAACTCCGCTAATTGAGCAAAATTGTAGACATATTAGTTTTCAGGCTGTCAAAAAATGGACGTGTACTAGTGATAAAAGCTGTCCAGAATACTAATGTTTCTGCTAACTAGAGTTCTAACTGATCAGCGCTCTGTGTGGCAGCGGACTTTTCCGCTCGAAGGGTGGAACCGACGGCCTCTGAAGACGACGATTCAGTCGAAACGTTAGGCCATTAATAAAGTTCCACCGAACAACCTCGTAAGGCACAAGAAAATTTGTTAAACTAATGTTTCTCTTCACTGCTAGTGACCAGCATGGAATTCAAAATTTCGAGATGCGTGGGCGGGTCTAGGAAAAAAATTAATTTTCAATTGCTGCTTAGAAAAAGTGATTGCTTCATTTGTAGAATATCGGTGCCGATGGGTCAAAGGCACAACAGAGGTTATGCTTAGATAGAGGAACCATGGGGCAGAGTTCTACACTAATCTAGTTCACGGGTGTTCCATGCTTCCAGCCATACTTCAAGGTAACAGCGCTAGGGCCTTTTTATCACCACTTCAACTGCTTCTATTCATTTGCAACATGGAGACATGCACCATTTAGGGATCAGCACTGATGCTCTCGCTCAGACTCTCCTCTTTGCTCAGTCTTCCACTGCCTTAGCTACAATGTTTTCGACAGATTATTTTCCTTTTTCTGCCTCCATCAGCGGGTCCCGTTCATGGAATGGCATTCATATTTCCCATTTCTAAGATTCAGTGCAGCGATACTTCTATTGCTCAGTGCTGCCCTGACCAGTAGCTTACTTTATTGTTATTCGTGGACCTGTAAGCAGAAATTCTGCTTAACCATAGAATACTGGTACTGGCCTCTCTATAAGCTGTTCCTGATGTTTTCCACAGGAATTCTATTCTATTCTACTATTCTAAAGTAGCACAGCCTTCTATTTTCCTCTGTTCACCTGAAGGATTTCTACAGCCACTCACTCATGATTCGAGAAACAAATGGAAGTCGTTCACAGGTAATTGGTGCTATTTCGCAGGAGTATAATTGCATAGCCGCTCCTGGAAAATGCTTTATACAGGGGGCTCAACTTACGGTAACAAGATGCAGCTGTCATAAAAAAAACAAAAAAGCTAAAAAAGGTGCAGGCAAAAAGGCAGAAATATGTATATTTAGAGGAAGCTAAACACCAAAAAATATTATTTCCTAAAACGGTTGCCGTCTCATTGACACACGACTAAATCCTCCACGGTAACCACTGACCATGGCGTGTAGAGGAGGGCGGTGAGCAGATCCGATGACTTCTGGAGCGATTTGTTAAACCCTTGAAAGTTTTGATGACTCTGTGAGCAGGCCTTCGTCTCTGGCATACGCCAGAGACGAAGGCCTGCTCACAGAGTCATTGAAAGTGCACAGTGATCCGCCGTATTTGAGGGGAAAGAACAGCATGACTAATCCTCGGAAGCGATGACTTCCAGGTAAATCACCAACATGCCACCAACTTTGCTCATCTTCGCGTTGTCGGTAGGTGCTCTCTTCAGGAGGGCTCCCCTTGAAATTGTCGATGAGCCGTCGCACGCGGCACTATCTCTTGTCGCGCGCGGCGATCGACGCGGCGAAGGCGATGTGGCGTTCGTTGTGGCGGTGTGTCGCTCAACCAGGGTGAATATCGCTTGAGGATTCCTCAACGGCACGTCGAGGATTCTCTGCCCGATCAGACACGATCTCTCGCGCGGACATTCACACTCGCCATGCCGTGCCGTCTGTGCTCTCCGCGCGGATGTTCACTCTCGGCACTACTCTCGCATGGTAGAGAGCTATGGTCGAGGAAATCCTCGACCGTTATTCACCCTGCGCTCGACCCATCGCTGGCATTTTGCCAAGTGTCGGACTGCCGATCGATAGACTGCTATTATTTGTTGAACCAATCAAGGCGAAACTCGGGTTTTGCTCATTTCGAAGTAATTAGGATCGGTTTATGGAGGTGTGTTTATTGCCTTTTTCTATAGAATCCCGTTTCAGCTCTATGCACTCGCAATGTTAATAGAGGATTGATTAGCGGTAGAAACGATATGCTCTTAGCCGATCTGCAACTTTTTTTGGCTGCTGGAGTGGAATATCGTAAATTTTATGAGCTTTTTCATTTTCATGTCTCATTTTCACGGTAATTAACTTTGTCTAATAAGCTGGGCTATTCATCTTACGATTCAAGCTTCACGAGACCGAACCTGCTATGTCAAACTACCAGTAGCATCAGTGGTTGTGTATACTAATAGTGATAATTCGTATACTACAGTTTCGGATTCATGCTTGGTACATATTTATCCCTACTATATATACGCTAAGTCTGTCTGTCTGTCTGTCTGTCTGTCTGTCTGTCTGTCTGTCTGTCACGAAATTCCGTATTAAGCGAACAACAACCTACAGGGTCCAGGTCAAGTTTGGGATGGGTGTACCATATCTCGAGAAGTAAAAAACACACATCAGCCAAGCGGAGCCCCGCCCACAGTGGGCGTGGCGTGCATCGGTTGATTTCAAATTCAGTCACAAAACAGCCTCGAGACTGGGGACAAAAGTGGGCATAGGTGTGCGTTGGTAAGCCAGATCGAATTGGGGAGACCCACCCTCGGTGGGCGGGGCGTTCTCTAAAAAAGCGGTGCTTTATGAAAAATTCATAACTCGGTTAGGAGAAAGCCTACAGAGCAGAAAAGAAATTAGTGTAGGGGAGCAATGTCTAAGGTATTTCCAGCATACATGACGTGAACGGAGGCCCGCCCACAATGGGCGGAGCGTGTCCTGAAGTAGACGACGTTTTCTACAAGAGCTCATAAATCGGCTCCGAGATGACTTAGAGACCGGAAAACAATGGATAGAGGTCAGGAGGGGAGGGGAAGCTAAATGTCAAGGCTGGGCGTGGCTTACACCAAAGTGGGCGGAGTTTGCAACCAGGCTTATAACTCGGTTCCTAGGAGTCCCGGGGTCCGGGAAAAAGCGTATAAGGGTTGGCAGAGGGAAGGGGGTCAACTGCTGTTGGCGGGCGGAGCATGCGTTAAAGTGGGCGGAGCCACGAAACTTCATAACTCGGTTCCAATAAGTTCCGGAGATGGGAAAAAGTAGAAAAAGGTTGGGGAAGAGATGAAAGTCAACTGATATCGGTGGGCGACCCATGCACCAAAGTGGGCGGGGTTTGCCACAAAGATACGTAGCTCGATTTCGTCCCCTACAAGACCTCATAATTCGGCTCCGAGATGACTTAGAGACCTGAAAAAACGTGTATAGAGGTGAGAGGAGGAGTAGAGGTTGAATGTGAACGCTGGGCGTGGCACACCCGAAGTGGGCGGAGTTTGCCACCACTCTCATAACTCGGTTCCGGCGAGCGGGGAAAATGTGGATAAGGGTTGCCGGAGGGAATGGGGTTAACGCTATTGGTGGGCTAAGCATGCACCAAAGTGGGCGGGGTTTGCCACGAAGATACATAGCTCGATTTCGTCCCTACAAGACCTCATAATTCGGCTCCGAGATGACTTAGAGACCTGAAAAAACGTGTACAGAGGTGAAAGGAGGAGTAGAGGTTGAATGTGAACGCTGGGCGTGGCATACAATGAAGTGGGCGGAGTTTGCACCAGGCTTATAACTCGGTTCCAAGAAGTCCCGGAGACCGGGAAAAGTGGATAGAGGTCAGCGAAGGAAATGAAGCCAACTGCTGTTGGTGGGCGGGGCATGCACCAAAGTGGGCGGAGTTATCCACGAAACATTATAACTCGGTTCCAAGAAGTCCTGGAGACCGGGAAAAAGTGGATTGAGTCTGGCAACGGAAAGGAGGTCAACTGCTATTAGTGGGTGGAGCGTGCACCAATGTGGGCGGAGTTTGCCAAACTTATAATTCGGTTCCAAGAGGTCCCAGAGACCGGGAAAAAGTGGATAGAGGTCGGCGAAGGAAAAGAAGTTAACTGCTATTTGGGCGGGCATGCACCAAAGTGGGCGGAGTTATCCACGAAACATTATAACTCGGTTCCAAGAAGTCCTGGAGACGGAAAAAAGTGGATAGAGGTCAGCGAAGGAAGAGAAGTTAGCTGCTATAGGTGGGCGCGGCATGCACAAAAGTGGGCGGAGTTTGCGTCGAAGTTATAATTCGGTCTCAAGGAGTCCGGAGACCGGGGAAAGAGTGGATAGGGGTCAGCGAAGGAAATGAAGTTAACTATCAGTGGGCGGGGCATGCAGCAATAAGGGCGGATTATCTACGAAACATCATAGCTCGGTTCCAGGATGCCCTGGAGACCGGGAAAAAGTGGTTAGTGTCTGGCAAGGAAGGGAGGTCAACACTATTGGTGGGCGGAGCATGCACCAATGTGGGTGGGATTATCGACGAAACATTACGACTAGGTCCCAGATGTCCTGGAGACCGGAAAAAAGGTGGAAAAAGTACGACAACGAAAGGGAGGTCGGAAGGGTGGGTGGGAGCGCGGAGCGAGGTGGGCGAACATTGCCAGAAAGCCTTACAAAAATATTGATGGCCCTGTTTTAATACTACTGCAGTCCCGTGTGATGCACGCGAATGCGTGCGCAGCTAAACTGGTTACATATATTGCTCGTTATGTATGTGAGAAGAAGTACACATCCGTCTCGGATTTTCCCACTTACCCGTCTTCTAAATATATTACAAGTTAGCAGGGGAGGAGTGTTCGTCTTTTCACAAGGAGTTTAACACCAACGCACCCACCGTCACTTGACAATCAAATATAAAGGGCTACAAGTGTGGCTACATGGACGAATACAAAATTGCTGAAAATGTAGCTCGGGGGAGCCACTCATAATATCTAATCAATATCTAATCGAAGGTGGGGTTGCGGAATGCCGGTCATATCTAATCATTACTTAGAGCACAGGCTCTGAGTGCACGATTAGATATGGATACCAACCCGGATTCCGTACAAAATC